AACAAATTCCTTTTTTTCTGAGTCGGAGTTTCACCCCCTTCCCATTTCCCACAATACCCCTTTTTTACCCCCCTCCCCCCCCCCCCCCCCCCCCCCCCGAAAAAAAAAAAAAAAACAACAAAAATTGCATAAGCATTATTTCCGCCTTTTCTTGAGACGACTATAAACGCAGGAGAAATTTAAAACAATTCTTTTGAAACAAAGTGCTTTACGGATGCTGTGAAAGTGGCGTATACAAGATTATTTTCTTTCCCGTCTCCTTGTTTGAGATCAGCACCTGGGACTGTTCCGTGCATTAAACTGGCCCTCTCTGATTTGGGGTTCTAACCCGCGAATACTTGGTTGTGTAATTATCATGAGGTGTCCAAAATACAGGGAGGTGTTCAAACGTATTTTTATTACAAGCCTGTATGTGCATCTGGAAATGTAAAAATCACAGTGGACACGGCAATAAAAGCTGGTCAAGGCGTTCGTTAATTTGTTTATCGTACACAAACGGCGATTTAAAAGGAAAATTTTAGTTTGTTTAATTTCGACCAGCAATTTAATTAAAGAAGGATGGCAACGCTTCATTCCCGACAACCATTCAAAACAAATTAAACAAAATAATTTCAATCAACTGTCAGAAATTGGCATTTCATGCATGAGAGGTTTACAAAAGCATTTTTGCTTTAGGTTTAATTACGATTGTTTATTGGTTGGATCGTGCCATTATACCAAACAGACATTAGCATTCATGAACCATCGCGTCATGTAATTAGCACTTTGTCTCTGAGTTTGTCGAATACACAAAGCGATTATTTCGCTTGCATGGTTAATTTGTCATATCCATCAGAGAATAAGTTGATTCACACGTACGTTGTTACTTTGCCGGTTGAATCGTTTTAAGCTGAATGTACGAAAAACACTGCATGTTTGCATTATGGACAAAGAGACCTCGTCAGTTCTTGGATTGAGAAAGCCTCGTTTGTCTACGAAGCAAAAACTGCGGAAGCGTGTGTCCTTCAAAGATGAAACCTGGGTGATTAATATTCCCGCATATGAAGAAAGTCAAAACGCCGCTGATTTACGAGATGGTTTTGTATTTTCAAGAGATTCCGTGGTGGGAAACTCTTGGATTAATAGTAGAACAGACGCAACTAGAGGACGAGGAAGATTGCAAACGTTTTCCACGTCTTCTTCGTTTTATGGAAACAAAGGACAACAAAGTCCTCAGACAACACAGCCTTACGGAACGATCAATCCAGGGCACGATATAAGTAGACCTCCTTACAAATCAATCCTCAAACCTCCATCAAGTTATCAAAGGAAAAGTCATTTGATTGAAACATACCTTCCTGCAAAACAGACTCGCCGAGTTTCTGCAAGTGAAAGATATGACTTCTCGGACACTTGCAATAACTTCAAACACGATCCGAGTCATTTGCTACCATCTAGAGAGGTTATAAACAGACTTGAAAAACCTTTTTTGGCCAAAAACCTACCGGCCAGGCGTTCTTCCTTTACTCGCGGACAGGAATCTAGGGAGGGAGTACTTTATAACAAATCTGCGCGGTTGTATGACCAAGATTTTTCGTTCAGTAGAACCTCGTCCGATTATGACTTGAACCAAAGTGAGAAAACAAGAACGATCAATAGCGGAAAGCAATCACAAGTAAATTTCGATATCGTTGGGGTAACGTATGGTAGGGTGGACAGAATGCCGTATTTTCACGATATCAGTGGTGCAATAAGCGGAATGAAGGAATGCACCCCTCTTTTGAATTCGCCTAACGACCGAGCACGCCTTGAACATTCCACAGTTTCCAGGACAAGTCATTTTGATTCAAACCGAGGGGGAAGACATATATCTGTCATTCCTGCAATCGCGGCCTTCAACA